TGCACCCAGTGTGGTGTTCTGTGCTCGGGCAAACAATTCCTCTCTTAGCAAACCCTCAGGGACTTCCTGGGGCAGTGCTGCACCCAGCGTGGTGTTCTGGGCACACACCCTCAGCGGGGTGCTGCTCCCTCTGCCCTGGCGGGTGTAGGTTCCCACTGGGATTCTCTCCCCACTCTGTGGAGGCTGCAGGTGTTGTCTCGAGTGTCTCACCCAGCACAACTCTCTCCTTTCTCGCCCGTAGGTCTCGGGGGCATTGCCAACATGCCCTCCCTCAGCTCAGTGGCCCCGGTGCCCATGGCCTCCATGCCGGTGGTGGGGATGTCCCCCCCGTTAGTGTCCTCTGTTCCCGCCGTCCCTCCCCTGGCTAACGGAGCTCCCGCTGTCATCCAGCCTCTGCCTGCTTTCGCTCACCCCGGTACGCTCACCTCCCTCCTCTGCTATTAACCCTGCCCTGCCACTCCCCCTGGAGCTGCACACGGGGCATCAGCCTTTCTGAGGATGCCTCGGGGTAAGGACTGGGCTGGGCTCGAGCCCGGTGGCACTGGGTGGCACTGGGAGAAGAGTTAAAGGAGGAGTGTGGACGTGTCCCACCGCAGGAGTCTGTCACGGGGAAAAAATGGAACAGCACTCGGAGAAATCACCTGGTGCCAGGAAATTGGGGCTCTCCTGTCTCTTTATAACTGTTAAGTACTGCTGTAAAATACTGGGCTACAGGTCGTTTATCCACAGTGTATTTTGATGTCAACAGGGTTTGCAGAAAACTGCAAAAGGAAAAAAAACCCAAAGGAAGAGCCCTTGTGTTTCCCCCCGTTCTGGTGGACTCCCTTACTTTTATACTGTTAAAGAGATCCCATCAGACCCAGAGTGCTTGTGTCATGTTAGGGACTGACTGAATGCCCTGGACATTCTCCAGTTTGAAGCATTAGCACTGATAAATCCCTGTTTTCTCCTTCACAGCCACATTGCCAAAGAGTTCTTCCTTCAGCAGATCCGGGCCAGGAGCTCAGCTCAATGCAAAGCTGCAGAAGGCACAGTCCTTCGATGTGCCCAGGTGGGTCGTGGGGCAGGGGCTGGGTAAATGGGGGCATTTGGGTCCCCCACACTTGGAAAAGCTCCCTTCTCTTTCATGAAGTTGTTTTCTGAAATAATATTTCCTGCAGAAACCAATTCCTGCTGAGGTACCACTCCAGCTTTTCACGGGACGTTGTGGTTTTACAGGGAATGCTCCAGGAGCAGGAAATCATGGAAATACAATAATTAACTATTAACAGTGTTGACACTGTTCTCAAACTCTTGAAAACTTAATTTTTAGAAAAGCCTTTGCTGCTGTAAACACAACATGGGCTGTGCAGTACTGCACAGACACTCCTGGAAGTGTGACAACACAAGTAATGTGTCATTTCAAATTGACAACTCTTGGTTGTTTTTAAAAGCAAATTGTTTAATAGCTCTCGTATTTTAAATGCACTCCACACACTTGTTTCTTCTCTATTCTTCAAGTTCTGAGTGAAAAATCACCTTTTTAGATTTAGGGCTTTTAGATTATTTCAAGGCTCAGAGTCCTGCTGGCCATCAGTGGTGTCCTCAGGGCTCCATACTGGGACCAGTGGGAGCTGATCCCTTCCCCAGTGACACAGAGGGCTCGGGGCCACCCTCAGCAGCTTTCAGGTGACCCCAAGCTGAGGCTGCAGGGACACACCTGAAGGATGGGACCATCCAGAGGGACCTGGACAGGCTGGAGCAGTGGCCCTTGGGAATCTCCTGAGGTTTAACAAGGCCAAGTGTCAGTGCTGCACCTGGATTGGGGCATCCGTGGGATCAATCCAGGCTGGGGATGAGCAGATGGAACAGCCCTGGGAGAAGGCCCTGGGGGTGCTGGTGGGGGAGAGGCTGGACATGGCCCAGCCCAGACCCCCCCATACCCTGGGCTGATCCCCCAGTGTGGGCAGCGGGGCAGGGGGGGATTGTGCCCCTCTGCCCCTCAGGGGAGACCCCCCTGCAGTGGGGGTTCATCTCATCCCACCCCCTGCCATGGGCAGGGACACCTTCCACCAGCCCAGGTTGCTCCAAGCTCTAACCTGGCCTTGGACACTTCCAGGGATCCAGGGGCAGCCACAGCTTCTCTGGGCAACCTGGGCCAGGGCCTCCCCACCCTCCCAGCCAGGAATTCCTTCCCAATACTGGGCAAAAGAACCTTTTCAGGTTTAAAACTTGATTTCTGTGCAGCACTTCACCTCCTTGTGAGGCTGTTGAGCCCCTGGCCCAGGTTGCCCAGAGAAGCTGTGGCTGCCCCTGGATCCCTGGAAGTGTCCAAGGCCAGGTTGGACGGGGCTTGGAGCAACCTGGGCTGGTGGAAGGTGTCCCTGCCCATGGCAGGGGGTGGCATGGGATGATCTTTAAGGCCTCTCCCAACCCAAACCCTTCTGAGACTCTGTGCTTGACCCCTGATGTTACCATGACCCCACTGACAGTGCCCTGTGCTGTGGTTCCAGTGCTCCCCCCGTGGCAGAGTGGGCTGTCCCTCAGTCCTCACGCCTCAAGTACCGGCAGCTCTTCAACAGCCACGACAAAACCATGAGTGGACACTTGACAGGTACTGCAACAATTTTTGTTGTCTCTCTTTCTCCAACTGTGAAAGGCCAGTTTTAGTCTCACTGAGGCTGCTGTTCACACAGTAAGAGACTCATCACTGTTTTTCTGTTTCACTCTCCCAAGTGATTAATGGGATTGTTTAGAAGTGGATATTCATCATAGCTGGGATCATTTTATCACCATCTCTCCCTTGTTTTCTGCCAAATAGATTGACCCTGGGAAATCATTCTGGAAAAGGGCACAGTGGGTTCTGTGAGAACTTGTGCACCCATTTCCAGTGTTCAGCTCACCCTCTGCTGGGAGCACCTGGCCAGTTCCAGCAAGAACCTAGACTGGTTCCCTGGCTAAGCTTTCCCAGTTCTGGTGCATCTCTTTGTGTTTCAGAGCTTTTTTGGGTTTTAATCTAAATTATTTAGTTGCCCAGAGAAGCTGTGGCTGCCCCTGGATCCCTGGAAGTGTCCAAGGCCAGGTTGGACGGGGCTTGGAGCAACCTGGGCTGGTGGAAGGTGTCCCTGCCCATGGCAGGGGTGGCACTGGGTGGGCTTTGAGGTCCCTCCCCACCCAAACCAGTGTGGGATTCCATGATAATTGTGCAGAAGGGAAGGGTAATGTATTTGTTATTTGGGGAGCCAAATAACACCTGTTATAACAAATAACAGATGCTGATCACATCTCTGCAGTGTTGCTTGTTTGTTTGTTAATATTTGTTTCACTTTCAGGTCCCCAAGCCAGAACGATCCTCATGCAGTCCAGTTTGCCCCAGGCTCAGCTGGCCACAATATGGTAAAAATAAATCAATTCATTGCCCTCCAAACACAAACTGTTCTTAAACCTCTGCAGTGGGTTCTGGGGGGTTTTCTCCATTTTCGGTCTCTGATAAATCACATGTTTCTCTTTTTTGTGTGTTACTTTATCAAACAAAAGCTGCACTTCTGTGTCTTTATTAATATTCCCAAAAGTACCAGGAGCCTGTTCTGTGGGATGTTCAGGCAGTTGGGGTTCAGGGAGGGGTTTTTAGGCAGAGCAGATTCCAGCACCCTGTGCCTCCCACATCCCTGGCCCCATGTGAGGCAGCACCAGTGAAACCTTTACCTTTGCACAGGTTGTACAACAGGAAGCTTAACCCGAGCCACACTTGCTTTGGGCTTTCTCTGCCTTTTCCATGAGTTTGGAAGGGCTGGTTTCCCAGGAGCTGCAGTTACAGGCACTTACAATAAGGCATTTTAAAAGGATTGGTCTCAGCCTCTCTTTTTCCTTTCAACTTGTTGTTTGCTGAACTTTATTATATTCTTATTGTCATATGGGAAATTGTTCCTAATTAATTTCTCTTCTTTATGAGTCTTTGCTTGCAAACCATTGGAGCTCACCCACCTGAACTGCACTTGCTCTCTTTGCAAAGCACTGATAGTTTTGTTATATATTATTTAAAACCACTCTTCCCTTCTCTGTTTCATAACAAAGGGATAAAAATAAATCAGCCCAATCATCCAGCAGATGATTTTCCAAAAAACACCCGGCTTGTTGCCAGCCTTGAAGTGGGTTGTGTGGAGAGGGGTCAGCCACCAGTGAACTCCAGGAGTTCTACACAGAACTCATTCAATTTTGGACATTCAAACTGCCAAAATGTCAATTTTTGGACATCCAAACTATCCATGGAGATAAGGAATGGATGTTACAGCTCTTGTTGTCCTACATGTGTGTCCCTTTCCTGGCCAGTGGAGCTGCAGGTGGTGTTCTCTGGGAGAGCAGAGGCTTTATCAGGCTGTGCTGGCACTGAACTCACTCAGACACACAAAGGCAAGTATGGCCTCTCAGCTGCCCTGGGAGTTCCTGATAAAATGTGGACCCAGGCTGCTGGAGGAGCTGAGCAATTATTTCTTTGCACCCTAGATTTTCATTCTCCTGGCTTGTTCTTGTCTCCAACCTGTGGAGTTCAGTGGCACAAGCCATGGATCAAATGAGGCTGGAATTGCCTTCCAAATTTAAATCCCATCAACAAAGTCCTGTACCTTGGGACATCATAATAATATATCCCTTCTTTGTTTTTGATTGTCACATTACCATGGGAGATTTTCCTACTTGGTTAGGGTGCAGCAGGCTAGAGAAACAAATCCTGAGCTGAGAGGGACCCCCAAGGCTCATCCAGTCCAAGCCCTGGCCCTGCCCAGGACACCCCAACACTCCCCCCTGTCCCTCAGAGCGTTGTCCAAACCCTCCTGGAGCTCTGGCAGCCTTGGGGCCGTGCCCACTGCCCTGGGGAGCCTGGGCAGTGCCCACCACCCTGTGGGGGAAGAACCTTGTGCTGAGATCCACCCTGAGCCTGCCCTGTCCCAGCTCCAACCCTTCCCTGGGTGCTGTCCCTGGACAAAGTTTAGGCTGTTAATTTTGTCCAGTACCACCCTAACATGAGCAAAAGCATTTTGTGCATGGGTTGGACCTCTGGTTTGGGTTGTTACTCCATGATTTTTAATGGATGATGCCAGAGTGGTTTTGTGCTTGTCAGGACCAGAAGGTTGATGGCTTGGGTTTCAATGCCAGTGGGAGCTCTGGAACGTGAGGGGGGAGCCTCCAGGGAAGAGGGAGACCAAACCAAAAGGTTCTGCCAAACACCTGAGCTGGTTCTTTTCTGAGTGATGTTGGGCAGTGGATGTTCACGAGCTGTTCAGGAGAACTCCCTTGGTTCATGTGCCTTCTCCCCGTGGTGCAGGCAGCACTCAGGGCAGGAGAAGGAGAAGCCATGGCTACAGGGCTGCTTTCAAGGCAGACATCCATGAGAAATATGGGAAGTAGGGGAGCATTTGGGTTTTGCTTTTCATTCGTTTTGGAAAAAAGTAGCGTGGAAAAAACTGAATTAATTTGGAACTGAATATGTTAAAATGATGCTTTTGAACGGTGATTTTTAATATTTACTCATTTCCTTACTTTGCCCCTTCCCAAGGAATCTGTCTGATATCGACCAGGATGGGAAGCTGACAGCTGAGGAGTTTATCCTGGCCATGCACCTCATTGATTTAGCTATGGCTGGGCAGCCCCTGCCCCCTGCACTGCCTCCAGAGTATATCCCACCTTCCTTTAGGTAACACTTGGGAATCTCACTCCTAAATTTGTGTTCCATTTGGGAAAGCTGTCCTGGGAGTGTAAAGCACAGCAGCCTGAGCAGTGACCCCTGTCCTTCTTGTCCTCTCAGAACAGTTTGGTGGGTGCTTTATGCTGACACACCTTCCAAAACTTGCTTAGTCTGGCCACAGGAATCTAAAGCTTACACTTCCTTGGAGCAAATGGAATGTGCTGGAATTCCAGACATGTTATGGATCTACACTGTACCACATTCAGCCCCCTTGGTACAGCTGGATCTGTGAAAACTGTGGTCACTCATCAGTTCTCTTTCTCTATTTCACTTTTTTTTTTGTGGAGAAATGGGTGGGAAGACAGTCCATTATAATGGAAAGAAATGCTTGCATACTGCATGCTTCAGGTATCCTCCTGAAGATTCCCATTGTTCTGTGTATTCCACCTGGGATCCTGCTTTTAGCCTGAGCTCTTCCTCTGTCTCTGCTACTTCTGCTGTAGTTTAAAAACCAGCTCCAGACTGGGCACTGGGAGAGATTTTGGGGACAGGGCTGGACCTATTGGGAAGTTTCATGGAGAACTTGGAACTGGGTTTCTCAGGTCACCAGGGAGAGCTGTTGGGACTCTGGGGAATAATGTTATCCTAAGGGAATGCCTGAGTAAAACCCTCTGAAAGAATATTAAACATCATGAAATGTTACATCATTGCACTGAATTTGGTTTCCTCATTAATCCTGAATGATTTGGGCAGGCATAGGTTGTCCTAAGCACCTGAAATCCCTGTTTTCTTGGCAGAAGAGTCCGCTCTGGCAGTGGGATTTCTGCTGCCAGCTCAGTGTCTGTAGACCAAAGGTTACCAGAAGAACCGGCATTAGAGGAAGAACAGCAGCAACTGGAAAAGAAATTACCAGGTGAGCAGGTGAAAAGAGGGATATTTTGTGTTCCAAGAGGGATATTTCGTGTTCTAGGAGGGATATTTTGTGTTCCAGGAGGGATATTTTGTGCTCCCAGAGGGATATTTCATGTTCTAGAAGGGATATTTTGTGCTCCCAGAGGGATATTTTGTGTTCCAGGAGGGATATTTCGTGCT